TTATTAAATAATGAATTATGATGAGATTATATTGTGATGTGTTTGTATGTACTTTGCATATAGATATTTTCTTTTCTCACCGTATAAACTGTGGATATTTTAGGTGAAGAAGATCCGGCTACGAGTGGCATCTAGAATGTCAACAGTTAAATTATGGGAATGCTCTGATAATGTGACATCGGGGCAGAGGATTTCTAGGACAGAATATTTATATGGATTTGGTATTGTAATAAATGTGTTTAAAATTGTAAACTCTTAAATTTTACCTTTCAAGTTTTATTTTTCAGTCATTTTCTTATATTGAAGAAAGAACAGTTTCGAAGTTTTATGTGAACCCTTTTACGAACCCTTTGAAAGTTTATTCTTCTTAATTAAATTATATTATATATGTGTTGGGGTAGTAAGGGTGTCACATTAGACATCATTTTTATAAATTATTTGCATATTCATAATCCGCAATACATGAAAAATTTAATGGGATCATCAAATTGTCAAACAAAAATAATTATAAAATTATTCATAATCCTACGAGATTCCTTCTCTACCCAGTTCCCTCATGTAACTTTGCATACAAATAATTCTTTTTCCCCCGTACCTCGATAAGCAGTAGCTGAAACTAAAGCAGGATCTGGTTGGTCTCCTCCTCTGAGTTCCCCTTGATCTTCAGAGAGTGTAGAAGAAAAAGAAGTCAGAAGTGAAAAATGTCCTTATGGAGTGCCAGAGTGTGCTATTTATAGATATCAAGAGTGGCCAAAACAGCCCGTTTCGGATCCGGAATGGCCTGTTCTGGACTCATTCGTCATGTGTAAAATTCACATATGGAACGACTCATTTTTAAACCAGAACAGCCCATTCTGGGGTTGAGTTTAATGAGGCATGATATTTAGTTCCACCCATTGTAATTCTGACCTTCTTACTTTTAATGAAAATACTTATATTCATTACTCTTCATAGATCCAAGCTGCTGTATATGCCCTTCGTAACACTAGGGGTCTTCCTTGGCCTTCTAACGAGTACAAGAAAAAAAAGGATGAAGACATTCTGGATTGGCTTGGGTCAATGTTTGGATTTCAGGTAAAACTCAATCAGAAACTGTGAGGTTAATTTTCTATTTTAATACATATTTTAAAATTTTTTTAACTTGCCAGGTTTTACATGCTTTTACATTACACACATGATTGATTTGCCATTGCCATTGTTATAGATTTTGGAGACCCAAGATAAAGTTGCTGAGAAAACAGAGATCTTAGTCCCTTACAAAATTCTTCCTCTTGATCCTGATAGTGCTAACCAGGCGATAATGAGATTCCCCGAGGCATGATATTTAGTTCCACCCATTGTAATTCTGACCTTTTTACTTTTAATGAAAATACTTATTCAGAAACTGTGAGGTTAATTTTCTATTTTAATACATATTTTAAGTTTTTTTAAACAAAAATATGAGTAATTGAATTGAACTTGTTTACAGTTTAATCTTGGAAGGCTGATTCAGTCTGTTGTGCCCAGTTTAATACATAAATTTGAATGCTTCTTTGAACTTGTAGAAATGCACTTTGTATGCTTTGGGCTTTGGAGGGAAGAGAAGCTTGTTATACTTAATGTTTTCTAGTTGTAGTGTTAATCTGCCTTGTAATTTCTTTTGTTGATAAGATACTGTTCCAGCTAATTGTTTCTTTCTTCATGCTGCAAATCCTCTGCCTTGCTGCTGTGTTTCTTTTTAAGGAGTTGAAAGGTCCTGAACCTTACATCGATAAACATTCTGTTTTGAATTTTTTATGGCTATCTATCTATCTTTTTTCTGTGAATCATGAACTTAAAAACTAAGGTGGGGTTTTTTTTTTTTGGTTTTCGTTTTCAGTTGATAAAATTTTGATTAGAATTAAAAAAAAACTCATCTTTATTTTCACATTGTTCCCTGTTTCCATTATATAGTGAATGAAATTGTGAAAACTAGGGGGCTGTTTAGTTTGAGAAAATGTATTTTGTTTTTGGGTACTGTTTTAACACAATTTCAAAAAGGCCATGTAGTTTCATGTTGTTTTCCTGTTTTTCAAGATTTGTACTGTAAATGGTTAAAACATTCTTGATTTATGATTTTTCCTTTTCCTCTTTATCTTGTACAAATTTTTTAAAATTGGTAACAAAGTGAAAACAAGGTAACATTTTTTTTTTGTAATTATTTGTGGAAACGGGAAACAGGCCTTAGTTGTTGTTTTCTGCCCCCCTTTTGGAAATCATTGATAAGAGGCAACAAAGTGAAAATAAGGTGACATTTTTGCAACTGTGAATGAAAACATATAAAAAAATGAAATCAGAAAATAAAACAAACACTACTTAATATTTTCTCCCCTACTTTTCATCAGTGCAAATATAATACAGTAATTTGTATTATATCTGCTTGTGACTAGTATGTTTTGTTTGCATAGTTGGATGAGCGTGCTCTGACAGAAGTGATGAAGAAACTGTTCAAGAATTACAAAAAGTGGTGCAAGTATTTGGGTCGGAAAAGTAGCCTTTGGTAAGTGTTTCTGTTCTAATGTTGAAAGATAGAAGCTGTTTTTACTGTATTGCTTACTAACAGCTCCTGGCTTTATCTACTCATCTACAATAAGAAGATATGTATTTTTTAGTTCTCCTTGTAACATGCCTTGTGGATGCATATTGCAGGTTACCTACCATACAGCAAGAAGTACAGCAGCGGAAACTACTATATATGGGTCTGTATCTTTTAATATGGGGTGAAGCTGCCAACCTAAGATTCATGCCAGAATGCCTTTGTTATATATATCACCATGTATGGTTTGTAACTTGAACCAATTTATGGTGTTAATTTACTTTTCCAAGAATGTTTTGAATCATTGTTGATGCTTCCCATTGTTTGGATTTTTATGGATGTTTTGATGCATTTAGCTAATTTTGGATATACAATGGCGAATGAATCCTTTTATCAAACTAATTGGCCCCAACAGTTTTCACTCTGGAACAAAATAAAAAGTTTATTCTGCTGCCTTTCTTTGTCTATTTTTGCTTGTGTAATCTGTTGTTTCTCCTTATTTATCTCTCCTTTGTTGTGCCTGTTCCCCTTTTATTCCAAACTTCTGAACATGGAAAAATATTGAATAGCCGATATTTTGAACTTTTGTGCATTATAACTTTGACCTGTTGGAATTTGACTTCTTGTTAGATAACCCTTAGTTGCATAGGCACATTGTGACACAAGGTTATCAATAGTGTGCTATAGTGTAATGGAGTCTTGGACTCATTTTGCTGTCTTGGAAGTTGCAGCATTGTGGTCACTATCTTGGAAAGTATCAGCTGTCTTGGCTGCTATTCTTCACGGAGGAATAATTCCTCCTTACCTCCTATTCTTCACCCTTTGCATGAATGAACCCCATTTATCAGTATTTTTTCCTCTTGTTCTACTTCAGAAATACACAATGTTTCTGATTTGGGTTAAGACACTTGAATCTCACCTTTTATTTGAGACCAAAAATTGTGAAGGCCAACTTGTTTCATTTCCAGTCACTCTCTGTCATTGTGTCTGGCCAATCCTCTGTTTATGTATCACAGGGCGACTGGTTGGCATCAAATTCCTCTTTTAGGTCTCTATTCTGTTCACAATCACATCATGTATTGTAATTCTTTGAGGTCTCTATTTAGTATAGCATTTTGCGGATTGGTAACTATGCTATCATATTTTGTTTCAAGATAGACAGTTCAAGTCATAATGGACTGAGCCCTAATAGGAATGATACTTTGTAAACCATAGGCAGCTAAATGATAATGATCAAACTGTCTGGTTGCATAGCCATGTTTAATCTATGCATGTTATTATGTTAAGTTAATGTGTAATCTTTGAACTAATATTTCTTAAGTCATATGAAGTTTATGACCAAGTTTGTTGAATTCATGTGTTAACTTTGTGACTTACATGGTGTTCTATGTTTTGGCTATGCATTTGGGAGCTATAGTTTTGCATCCTGGTTGGGAATCGTTCCTTTACATATTTTTATATCTATATTGTGCACAAGATAAATTTTTAACGAATATCGGTTGTTCTGTGCCTTATATAGAATAGGTTTTTAGGAGCTGATGTTTATACTTTTTTTTTATTTATTTTTTATTTTTTAATGTTTAAACCCATGCAAGATGGAAATTAAAATCATAATCTCTGTATCCTGCATGAGTTGCTGACATTATAAAATTAATTCATGTGAACTTTCAGTCTCAAAAGATATGATATGCTGCCTTTTGCTTCATGTGTTGTCATTTTGTATCTTTATATATAATTTCTGTCTATGACTGTTGCTCATATTGAAACATTAAGTTCTTATATATAGATACTTTTGTCATGCTGTGATTTTATCATTTTGTTTTCTGGTTCTGTGATTTTGTCATTTTCTTTTCTGGTGTCATAATCTTATTTTCATGACTGTTTAGGCGGTAATGCAGTGTGTGTATTCTACCTGTGGTTTGGGCATTTGGCTCATATTGTCACCTTTGCCATGTTGGTATTGAATGAACCTTTTGATGGTATCTTGCTACTTTTGTTGAATATTGACATGCATTGAGGTTCTTTTCATAATGGCTCCTGTAGATGGCTTTTGAATTGTATGGTATGCTTGCTGGTAATGTCAGTCCTATGACTGGAGAGAATGTGAAGCCAGCGTATGGAGGTGAAGACGAGGCTTTTTTAAGGAAAGTGGTCACTCCTATCTATAACGTGATTGCTAAGGTTTTTCTCCCATTGATTACTGTCTGCTTGTCCTTTCTTATTTGTGACTGTCACATCCATATAAAATTATTCTCTTTCATTTGTCACATTGGTGATATGAAAATAAATTAATATTTTCTTGCTCAAAAGGAAGCTGGACGTAGTAAAAAAGGAAGGTCGAAGCATTCACAATGGAGGAACTATGATGATTTAAATGAATATTTCTGGTATAATTAATGCTTTTAATTTTCTCTTTTATTCATTATTATACCTGTCAATGAATTTAATTTTAACATCATAATTGTAGGTCTGGTGATTGTTTTCGGTTAGGTTGGCCAATGCGTGCAGATGCTGATTTCTTTTGTCTGCCAACTGAAAATCAGAGTTTTGATAAATCTAATGTAAGTATTGATTATTAATTTCTGATTTTCTCTGTATATGTTGACTATAAGCATTTACTTTTCCCTTAAAATTTTAAAATAAGTTACATGTATAGCTTTTATGGGGATTCACCTCTTTCCTGTTCATCAAAATTTTGAGATTATCTGCAAGGCTTTTGGGTTCACAAGTTTTATGTGGGTCTAGATCATTTTTAGACAGTTGCTATTATTTTATGGGATAAAATAAGAATTCATTAAGAAAGAAGAGATGCAAAGGGGAGGATAAGGATGTCCTCAACAAGATCTATTATGCTGCGGTGTGCAATGGCTGATGATCCATCGATCTCTATGCAAATTGTTCATTCTTCCATTGAAATCATTCTTACATGTATATTATGTTCTAGAGTAAGGTGAAAATTAATCACCAAGTTAATTTCTGAATCATGAATAGTAAAATCAAATCATAAGATTCAAAGACACATTAATAATATCTTAAAATATATCACATAAATTTATATAGAGCTCATTTTGAACTAGAAAATGACCACAAGTCTCATGAAACAAAATCTTAACCAAGTGTTAATTTCAAAAGGCTAAAACTACTTTAGTTCCTTTTTTATTTTAAAAATTTGTTTAAATTAGTTTTCAATTTCTTTGATAGGAATCTTTGAAAGAAAAATTAAAAACAACGAACTGCTAAATTGTGTGATATTTATCAGAGCATCCATGTTGGAGATCCCATATTGACTAGAGATAAGATCATAATAGTGTATGTGCTTGGGGAGCAATCCTCACCTTACAATCTAGTTTTTATTGTTTTAAGTTGGGTCAAAACCCACTTTTTAAGATGGTATTAGAGCTTTCCTAGATACCCTAAAAGGTTCACCCACCATTTATATATGCAGCAAGCTCAATAGTGTTGGGTGTGAAGGGGTGTATTGAGAAAAAATCCAAGTTTTTCCCTTTCCTAGATCATTAAAAAGTGCTACCCACCATTTAGCCACTAATCCAGCCAAATAGTGCTAAATGTGAGGGGTGTATTAGGATAAATCCAAGTCCCACATCAACTAGAGATAAGACAAATAAAGGGATTATAAGTGGGGGTAACCCTTACCTTACAAGTCAATTTTGTAGGGTTGAGTTAGACCAAAATCCATTTTTTAAGAATCCATGCATTGTAAGATTCAAAATCATCTATTATGCATCACTCGAAATAAATTGATGGTTAGCCAAATCATATCT